AAAGTTGAAGGCACTCCCCCGACAAGTTGTTATTCCTCAAGTTCAGTACCTGGAGACTTGACAAATAGCCCAAAGTACGCGGAATGCCACCCGAAAAACTATTCTCAGCCAAAATGAGAAAATTTAAGTAGGATTTGTTCTTCCAACAGTTGGGAAGCTTTCCTGCCAACTGGTTACTAGATAGGTCAAGAAACTCCAAATCCATGGGAACTGTAGTGCATATAGATGAAATCGAACCTGAAAACATATTCTGGGAGAGCTGGAAATGCATAGTATTGGGATGTAATAACGGTATAGGACCTGAAAAGTTGTTAAAGCTAAGATCTATGAAGATCGACGGAATCGAATGAGGAAGATTACCGCTTAAATGGTTATGAGAGAGATTTAAGTTTTTGAGTGTAGGAGACAAACTCCAAAACCATTTAGGCACTTCACCTGATATATTATTACAAGAAAGATCGAGCAACGTAACCCTACTCTGAGTTTGAATCCATGTCGGGAAATGCGGGCCCATGTTGGAAGATGCTAGACTTATAGAATCCAACTGAAAAGGAGGAGTCCAACCAGGGCTAATGCGAATGGTCAATGGATTGTAGGACAAAAAAAACGTCTTTAAACTATGAAGTTTTGTTAAATTTGCTTCGGTTATTGTGCCTTCCAAGGAATTAAAACCAACGTCCAAAACCTCGAGCTTGTAAAACTCGCTAAACGGAGGCAATCTTTTCAGTTTATTGCCACGAAGATACAGTTTCGTCAGATGATCTGGTCTAAATAAGCTGTAAATCGCGTCGGAAGTGAGGTTATTCTCTGATAGATTAATGACAGAAAGAGAATTAACAAAGAGATCATCATCAACGGAAGATGTAACAAGTACATCGGGAATGTTCGAGTGAGACAATGACAATTCCTCGAGAGAAGGAAGCTTTAATATATGCCGCATCCAATTGGTATCACTTAAGTTCGAATAACTCAAATCAAGACGGGACAACAAAGAAAGGTGAGAAAGCCAGTCGAGATTCTCAGACCGTAAATTATTACGGGTGAGATCGAGTGTCCTTAAGTTCGTAAGGTTCCCTAGTTGAAGTGGAATCGTCCCGGAAAAGTTGCAGAATTTGAGACGAAGATGCTGCAACTGCTTCATAGAACCAATGAATTCGGGAATCCGATTCCCTCCGAAATCATTGTAGGTCAAATTCAAAATTTCCAAATGATGCAAATCAAGCAAAGCAGTACTACTATTACTAATACTAATACTGGCGTTACCTACAATTAGTTGGAGAAAACTAAGTCTTAGAGCAACCACGTGAGAGGTGGTGTTGCTGCACTCAACGCCTTCCCATCTGCAGCAATCTGATTCGTCGATACTATTTCCCCACGACCGGAAAAAACCACCGTGATCTATGAAGTCATTCTTGAATTCGAGAAGAGCTTCTCTCTCACTATGTATGCAACTAGATACATAATTACCGTACCCCATGCATACTAATAGAATAAATACAGATCGTAATTTACTTCTAATTACTTTATGATCATCAATCATTCTTTTTTTTTTCTTTTTTTTTTTTTTTTTTTTTATGGTGATAAAGTAGTAAGGGGTTTGGCAGAACAATATATCATACCAATTAGGGGTAGTATTGTTGTAGTTGATCCAAAATAAAAACATAGATAGAGACACACAGAAGATCATTGAATATGTCAACAACACGACAATTTATATCAGAACAAAGTCAAATTAGTTTAACTGAAATGACGTCTTATGAAGACCAAGAAAATTTATAGTTTATTATTAGGGTAAATTCCACTTTTTCCCCTTGTACTTTGGCTCAGTATCACTTTACCCCCTTCTACTCTTGATTGCATTGATTTGCCCCCCTGTACTTGAAAAATTGTCTCAATGTAGCCCTCGCTGCTAGTTGTTAGACATTTAACCTTAACACTCTAAGCTCTTTTGAAGATTACAAAAACGCCACCTCTGATCTCCCAGTTTAAATATTTTTAAAAAATAAAAAATAAATAAAAAAAACAAAAAAAATAATAATAAAATAATTATAAAAAATTCAAGACAACGAGAAAACATAGTCCACGATGTCAGACACAATTTATTTGTTTATTTTTTTAATAATTATTTAAATTGGGAGGAGTGATTTTTTTGTAATTTTCAGACTTAGATCAAACGGTGTTAGGGTCAAAAGGTCTGAAAACTAACAGCGATGCCACATTGAGAAAAAAATTCAAGTACAGAGGCAAATTTATGAAATCGAGAGTAGAAGGGGATAAAGTGATATCGAGCCAAAATACAAGGGGAAAGTGGAATTTACCCTAATTATTAACAAGCTTCTCTGTTGCATGTTGCAGATGAATGAAACACACGCTATGTTATAAACTATGTAGTACGAAAACTTAAACTTCTTAACGTTTTGTATCGGAAATTCGAAGACACCTGCCGGATACCTTATGGGCCATTTTGCAATTTTTGAAAGGTTTTTTTTTTTTGTTTGCCTAAAAGATTTTATTATTTCATTATAAACATCCGATTGAGGCCTCGTTAAACCTTGTTGGCATAACACAAGAAAAAAGAGTACCCCTACAATAGTAATAAAAAATCAACGTCTAATGTATCTAAACTATTACAATGAAGCCCCAAATTGGGATAAAAAGTAAAGGAAAGTGTTGGCGCCAGATTTCCGAGTATTGAAGATCGAGGAAATCTGCCGAGTTTTGGAATTAAAAGATTGGCAAAGATTTGTTTTCCATGTTTATTTTGGAATTTATTAGAGTCCTATTTTATAATACTTCTATTAGGACTTAGATTTATTTCCATGTATTTTATTCTAGTTAGGTATCTTTTGTACTTATCTAGAATAGAAGTAGAGATCAACTAGGATTCTATTACCTAGTTAAATAGATTTCTTGGGGTTCAAGTTAGGTCTTAGGGCTTATTTTCGTGGCTATATAAGCCTCCAAGACATACAAGAACCGTGCGCATTATTTGGAAGAAAAATCACTTCACAGCGTCGAAGGTTTGCTAAGGCGTTCTGCGGAGCAGGACTGTGCCATCGTTGCACTGTGCCATCGTTGTGTGTGCCAATATATACAGATCTGCTGTATAGATCTCAAAGGAGATCAGCCGCGTTTCTGAAGGGAGTTCAGGCCTGAAGGGAGTTCGAGGCACGCGGTGTGGAGCTGCTGTTGGAAGAGACACGGAGTTCAAGTTGTGTACAAGAACGGCATATTACATAAAGAGGGAGTCTTTAGTGTTTTTAATAAGTCCTATTAATGTACACTGTAAATCTGAACTAGTGAAATCGTGTTTGCAGGTCCACGTGGATGTAGGGCACATTTGTGTCTGAACCACATTAAATTCTTGTGTTTGTTTACTCGCTTTCAGTAGTTTATAACTGTGTTAACACAAGAATTGTAGTTGTAACTGAATACTGTTCCCACAACAACTGTTACAACTTCGGTTAACAGACACTACAACATTTTGGGGCTTTTACGACGCAATTTTTATCAGACGGTTTCATAACCGTCGTAAAAAAATGTATTCTTGACGGTTTTATAATATTCTTGACGCATAGAAACCGTCAAATATATTGGTTATCTTGACACTTTTTGACCCAATCTCGACGGATTATAAGCGTCACATAAAGTTTTATAAAATTGCTACTTTTTATTTTTGATAAAATAAAATTGCTACTTAAGATTACATGTTTAATGTTTTATAAAACGGCTAATTAAACGATTTAAATTAAACAACACAATCTTATATATTATAAAACATAAAATAAAATAAAATTTACTCTCCCGCTCTAAACAACGCAATTAGGGCTTTTTCAGCAGTACCACCGCCGGTGCTACAACACCTCCACCGTCCTGCTTCAACTGCCCGCGATTGCTGCGACTGCACCGCGACCTTTACCACCGTGCCGAGAGTGCTGCCGCCGACGCACAATCGCTTCCACCGACGCACAATCGCTTCCACCGACGCACATCCGCTTCCACCGTCGCACATCTGCTTCCATGGTCGCACAACCGCTTCCGACGCGCAACTAACACTACCATTACGAATTCGAGGCATAAATTGGAATTAGGTATGACAAAATTACATATACATCTCTTCCAATTACACTTGGTGTTATTTTTTGGCTTGATTGGTTTTTGATATTGTGGGTTTTCTACAAATTAGCTATGAAATTCATATGGTTCAGAAAAATAGAAAAAACTGTAGTGAAAATACTTGTGAATTTATACTAATAAGTCAGATTATATATAAATCTCTAAATAAGTTTTTAATTCTAATGTTGATATGTAATTGTACAATCTGCCAGCATATGATTATATTTAATTTATTCATATGGTATTGTTGTAGAACCATTAGATATTTAGAGGTAGAAATTAAAGCATAGTTATATATATATGACCAAATAAATCACAATTGAATCAAATTATTGTTTTTTTTTTAATAGTTAGATTGTCCATTTTCTAACATTTTGATTACAAATTTTGCAGTTATTTTTCGATATCAGCGAGGTTATAACAGTTTTCCAAAATCAACTCAAGGATATCAAGAATCAACTCAAGTCATCTTTCGAGGTTTTGAAAATTGGTGAGAATCAAGTGGGAAATCAACTAACATATATACTGAATCAACTCAAGTCATCTCATTCTCATATTCCACTTAATGGTGATGCTGAATTTATGGAGTCTGATAGTGACGCAGATGAGGCTTCATCGACGCCACCTGGTAAAATATTACTTATTTTAGTTATAATGTTATATTTTTCACAAAAATTTCAATATTTTATAACTTTCAAATATTTAGGAATGAGTGAGAAAACAACAAAAAAGGGTCGAGGTAGAACAAAAATGCTCAAGTCATGGGGTAATGAAAAATTTGAGGTTCAGATTAATGACCTTAATCAAGCCATAGGAGAGAATGCAGCAAAACTTTCGAGCCAAATGGGCCGTGTAGCAAAGAATGGCAGTCGATTTCCTCTTACGGTTACAGATTGGAGGAAAATTGACAAATATAACAAGGAAATAACTTGGTTGGAGTACAAGGTAATCTTTCTACTCTCAGTACATTATCTTACATTCTCTCTTTGGTTAGCCATCAACACCTTATTTGTTTTTTAATATTTGATTATAGGCAAACTTCTCGAATTGAAGATAATTTTAAACATCAGTTCTTAAAGAAGTTGGGCGTAATGTGGAAGAATTGGAAATCGGAGGTAAAAAAATCTTATTATTCTATGCATGAGACGGATGTCGACCGATTGGCTAATTGTCCTGACCTTGTGGAAAAAGACCAATGGCCTACTTGAGTTCATTATTGGAGTTCTAGTAGTGTAAAGGTTCGATAATTGTATATGTTTTCCTTTTATATTTCTGGAATTATAATTGGAAATTGTACTGAACTTACTTAATGTAATTTGCTTATTTTCTATGTAGGAAATGAGTCTAAAAAATGCTTCGAACAGAGGTAACCAAAAAGTGCCGCATGGAACTGGAAAAAAGAGTTATGCTGTCGTGAGGAATGAGGTGAACTAACTTCTCACTCTTCATCACTAAGATTAGCTAATGTTTAGCTCTAAAATGAATTGAGTTGTTTCATCTAAAATGGTGCATATTTGATGAAGCAAAGAGATTGTGTTGTTTAATTTTTTAAATCGCTTTTCAGATGCAAATGGAAAACGGTGAAGATCCTACAGACTATGACTTTTGGATGGCGACACATGTTGGTTTTGCCAAGAGCACATTGGATAAGAAGACTTCTAAATTTATTGTGTGTTATTTATTATTTATATTTTGATAATCTTTGTTTTCAATAATCACCTTCTAACTATTTATATCATTTATAGGGAAAGCTTAAACAATTAGTTTCAAGAAATCCAGAGGCCTTGAAAAACAAAGACGTGAAAGATCAACTTTTGGCCAAGTTTTTGGCTCCAGAGAAACCAGGTCAGATGAGAAAGTACGGTTTCGGTCCAACACCCAATCAAATTAACGCCATAAAAAATCAAAAGAAAATTGTTGATGAGAAAGTTTCGGTACTTGTTGATTCCATCCGAAAGGAATTAAAGGAAGAGATACTATCTGACTTACGTGCTGTGATAGAAGAAATAGTTCGAGATATCATACGGTCTCAAACGAGAAAAAACTCTTTGGCACAAGAATCTAGTGAATTTTTAGCTCCTTCCGTGGCTAGACAAGTAATTTATAATAAATAGTCTACAGTGCATACATTATCATAGAGTATGTGGTAACACTTTGATTACGTGTATAGGACATTGGAGTTCCGGAGCCAAACTTAGTTCCGGAGTCTTCAAATACACCAGTTAATAGAGAAGATGCTCATGTAGAGTCACATGCACCTTCAAAATCATCTAGCAGGCCTCAAGTCCAAGAAACGGATGCGCGAATTCAACAATCAAGTGCAAACAAGGACAAACTTAAAAAGAGAAAACTTTATGGGTAAATTTTCTCAAACATATTTCACCTTATTTGTATTTTCTTTTTTTTAATATCTTATATTGTATATGATGTGGTCTGATGATTATCAATTTGGATAATTATTTTCAAGGAGTGTAAGGAGTATTTGGAAAAGTTGATGTTTGATGTGAAGTTGAAGTATCACGGCAGACCATTAAGGTAGTAGTTATAATACAATTTGATGTTTTTTAGTTATCCAAATGAAAAAAACACGTAGACAATTTGATCATTAAGAAATGACTTGTTTTTTTAATTGTTCAGGAAGACACTATATGGTACATTGGAGCAAGGATATGCATGCCACTAATCAGCCAAATCTAATTAATTTCAAAGTTATTTGTTTTTAATTTGTTGTTTTTGTCAGAAGTATTAATACTTCAAGTTCAAGTGTTGTTTTGAAGATATATTTTGTAAAGTTTGGTATACTTTTGGAAAGCAAGAATTCATGTTTTGAAGATAGATTTCATAAAGTTTGTTAATATTTGTGTTTATATTTGGCATCTGTTATATTTGTGTTGGGAAAATATATTAATATTGGTCATTTGGTTAAATTGTTGTATAGGTTCCATTATTAATTTGAATAAAATATTGAAAAAAATGTACCAGTTTTCCCGACGGTTTTTAACGGTGGATAATGTATTCTTGACGGTTTTCAAAATATGTATGAGTATTTACGATGGTTCCTAAAGCGTCGTTAAAGTTTTTTCCTGACGGTATTTTTACACGTAGAAGTATATACGACGGCCTTTTTCTTGACGGTTTTGTGACGGTTGAAAACCGTCAAGCATAATGTTCCCGACGGTTTTTCTACTATTTCTGACAGTTTTCGTCCGTCGCATAAAGCCATAAATGTTGTAGTGAGATTTTCATAGGCATTCAAATTCAACGAAACTACAAGTACTAAAACTAGCAACCCAATAAAAGTTTCTAAAAATGCTTGCAGCCCCCAGGTGGGGGTCAATCTGTAATTAAACCAAATCCGCAGGCCAAGCCAGAACACCCTTCTCAACAGTTCTGAAACTTGCATAACCGCCCCAGGAAAGACAAGAACATAAATAAGCAAATTTTCAAATGTTTGAATAGTAAATTTTCAAATGTTTTTGTTGTTTCCCAAATTATTTAATTACATAATTTAATGAGTAATTGCAAATTGATAGTTGATGGTAAAATTTATTTTTAATATGTTTGTATAAAAATATATAAAAAAAAATTATATATAAATAAAAACTTATATATGTTTATCTAGAATATTTATAAA